AAACAACAACAAATAAACATTCATTCTTTGATTTGACATTTTGCTTCTGTGTTCTGTTTGACTGGAAAACCAACCGTTGTAGTATTTCATGAACTAAACATGAGTTCATGTCTGTTTTCTGTAAAATACGACTCTGCATTTAATTCAACATGTGCACTTAAAGAAAACATATTCCAATATTTTCAGTTTTTCCATAAAGCAGCTTTGGTTGTTTTGAGGCCGTTGATTTAATTTGGTGGAGCAATGTTTTCTAAAAAAAATTAAAGTTTAATGATGCGATTTCACAGTTTTCAATCTAATTCTGTTGCACGTTAAAGTTTATAAAAGCCTCAAACAAAAAGGCTCGACTGTGTGTGAATATCGTGGCTTCAAATGAAGCTGGTCTCAGAGCAGCCCGAGGCCTCGTCTTTGTTTTCATAAAGCAGTAAAGTGAAGTTAACGTCTGCCGTTATCACTTTCTGCCCCAGAAGCCCCGTTAAAACACACTCACGTCTGAGGAGTAAAACCAGTTTGTTAGCCTGCGTCGAGGCCTCGGGCTCCTCGCGTTACCTGCTGGATTACAGAAAAAGAAGCAGAAGCAGCTTTTCGGGGCTGGATTCAGTGTTTCTCTGGACTCGGGGGTCTCGACTTTGAACAACAGCAGACAACAGAAGCCCTCGGTGAGTCCAAGGCTGCTCATAAACCTTGAACCGCAAACAAATCACAGCTCGGCGTCGCAGCCTCCACTTCCTCCGCCGCCCGGCCTTTATTGGGGCAATCAGACAGTTTGGTGTCTCCTCTTTGTCTTTCACATTCGCTGGACTGTGCACGAGTGTCCATCTGTGGCCGACGTCAGAGGGAGACGAGGAGATGAAAGGCCGGATTGTGTTTCTGGAACTAAAGGCTTCAACCTAATGACCCACAATAAACCTCAGTACGAGCTGCTGCCTCCTTTCAGCCAACAACCACCAGTTCAGCTGGGCTATTCCCAGACTTGTGTTTTCGCTCAGCAGTGTGATGTTTGGCTTCTGCAGTTTTAAAGAAATTAGGATTGTAGTAGCAGACTTATGGGCTGCAGTGTAAAAAAAGAAAAGAAGCAAATATCCAGGTATCTGAAGTCTTGGCAGATCAATATCTACATTTTTTATGTTTTGGGGCATTCGTTCCAGGGGGTTTTTTTTTTATGTTGATCATAAATTTGTG